AAGAGAATCACTTCAGATCTTGTGTACATTTAAGCCCCTCTCCAGCAATCAGTGACCAGATCATGCTTTAGTATTTACAGCTGTAGGGGACTTACTTTTTCAAGTGGTGGTTATAAAGCAATTTTAGGTCTGCTGCCAGCTCCGTCTTCTCTTTCCTGCAGTTTTTGTCAGACTGCTCTTGCTTACTGTGAAGCCTTGTGGCAGGAGCATGAGTGGTTGCTCACTGGGGTTTGATGTTTTTTCTTTTTTACCTACAGTTATTTCGAAGTCTGGGCATTTTGTGGCTTCTAGTTGTGTAGGGGGCATGGTTTTTGTGTAGTTTTATTTGTTTTTCTTGTTGTTCTCCATTGTCTGTAGAAGATATACGGGGAGATGCAAATCTAGGCAGCCACTACGTAGCTATCTGGAAGCTCTTGGGCAAGTTTTTAACTCTCTGAGCTTAGTGTCCTCATATGTAAAATGGGGATAATAAGTATACCTACTTGGTAGAGATTTCATGAGTATTAAAGGAGATAATATTTATAAAGTATGCGAACACTGCATGTCACATAAGTGCTCAAAAATTGTTAGTTGCTATTACTATCATTATGTATGGATGCAATATCTGCTTGAATACTTCTGTGGATACTGCTTTGGAAATAAAATATGTGATACTGTCTAAAGTTGACCCCTCCCGCAGTATTGTGTATCTCATCTTCTTCTGCCGTTTTGTCGCCTGTGCTCCTGGAGCCATGCTTTAGCTCCTGCTTCATCTGTTCTTCCCTTTTTACTGACTTCTCCCCTTGTCATGCAAACAGGGCTTAAGTAAAACCCATCTTTAAAAAAATCCTCCTTTGATTCATCTCCCCCTCTCACTCTCTACCCTATTTCTCTGCTCCCTGTCCTAGTAAACTCTTCTAAATGGTTGCCTATACTGGTTGTCTCCATTTTCATGTCTCCCATTCTCTCCCTAAGCCACTCCATTGGATCTTTTATTACCTACTCCTTTCCTGAAATGGTTCTTACCATCGATATTCTTGACTTTTGTCTTTTCAAATCCAAGCATTACTTCTCTGTCCTGACCTGGTGAACCGTTTCCTTTTCTTGTTGTTGGTGGTTTAAAATTATTATGAAATACTTCAGACATAAAAAAGTATTAAAAATAATATAATGAACCTGTGTATTTGCCCTCTGGCTTAAAGAGTGAAAATTATCAACTCAATTGAAGCCCCAGTATCCTTTCCCAATGGTTTCCACTCTCGTGCTCCCAGATGTAGCTGCTGTGCTGAATTGGTATTTATTGTTATCCCACTTTTTTTGTACTCTTGCTATATATGTGTTTTTCTATATCATATATAGTATTTTTTCCATGTTTTTAACCCTCACATTAAACAGATTATTCTTACATGTCTTCTTTTGTGACTTGCTTTTTTTATTCAACATTTTGTTATGAGAAACATTCATGTTGCCACTGCAAGGCCTTAGAATGTTTTTCACTATAGTGTTCCATTGTATGACTAGGCTACAACGTATCCATTATCCTGTAGTTGGACACTTAAGTTTCAGTTTTCAGTGGTTGCAAACAGTCCTTCTAGGAACGTTCTTGTAGCTGTCTCCTTCTATGTGTGTTTCTGTTTGGTAATACCTGGAAGTAAAAGTTCCTGAGTCATAATGTATCTAAGTAGACTCTTCTGTTGAAATACCTTGTTCTAGGCTTCCAGGATACTATACTTGTCTGGTTTTCATCTTACTTCACAGGCCAGGCCTTCTCAGGCTCATTTTCTAGATCTTCATTCTCTACTGCACTCTGATGGTAGTGTCCCACAGCTTTGTCTTTGGTTCTTTTCCCTATAGTGCCAGCTTCTAAGTTCTGATCTACTCTGATTTATCCCCCATGTTGGTCCCAAGATGATCTTATCAGGGGCAGTCTGGTCATGTCACTGCTTTGCTTGAAGTCCTTCAGAGGCCCCCTACTGACTGCAAAGTCCAAGTTCTGTATCATGGACAAAACCATTAAGGATAATGTCTATCAACTCCTCCCTCTTTAGAGGGTCCTGAAGACCGTCTCTCCAGCAGGCAAGACCTTTGCTCAGACACTTTCCTCTCTTGACAGTTTTTTTTCCCCTCACTGCTTACCTGCCTGGTAAACTTTTGCTCATTTTAAAAGATGACTCAAATGTCCCTCTTTTAGGAAAGTCTTCCCTGACACATTCAGGCAGAAATGAGAAATTGCTTCTCTGTGTTCGAAATGAGAAATTGCTTCTCTGTGTTGTCCTGGCAGTTTATTTTTTATCTCCATTATAATACTTGATTCATTTATCCAACACATATTTATTGATTGCCTGCTATATGCTGGAAATTGTTCTAGAAATTGGTGATAAAACAGTAAACAAGATAGACAAGGTCTTTATTTTCAAGGAGTCTACACTCCAGGGGATAGGAAAGAGAAAAAACAAGTAAACAAAGTTTTGTTTTAGATAGCGATGTCTTACTATGGTAAAATAAAACGAGGCAGTATGACCATGTGATGGAAATGTGTGGGAGGAGTGGGGGGTGAGAGATGGGTTTGACACTTCAGATTGAGTGAGAAGTTGTTTGAGTTGAGACCCGAAAGATAACAATAAGCTAGCCATGCAGAGATCTGAAAAAAGAACATTCCAGGCAGAAGGAACAGAAAGTACAAAGGTCCTGGAGCTAGAATGGTTTTTGCATGTTTATGGAACAGAAAGAAGGCCAGTGAGGCAGGAGCATAATGAGAAAAGGGAAGGGGTGCTGTATGAAATAAAATTAAAGAAGTAGACAGGGCCAAATCATGTAGGGCCCTCTAGGTAAGCTCTGTCAATTTTTTATTTCAAATGCAGTGGGAAGCCATTGGAAGATTTTGAGTGAGAGAATGACATGATGTGATTTAAGTCTAGAATTATCACTCTGACTGAGATGAGGAGAATTATAGGGAGACAAGAGGGAAAACATAGACCAGTTAGGAGTTGTTACCTACTGCACATGAAAAGCGTTGATAGCTTGGATGACTCTGGTATTTGTAGTGTCCATGGAAAGAAGAGGAAAGACTTTGGGTATATTTTGGAGGTAGGCTGGAAAGACTTGCTGATGGATTGGATTGTGTTGGTTTTAAGGAGGGATGGAATCAAGAAAAGGACCCTTGGACTTTTCTTGAGTAACTGGGTGGATGGTGGTGTCATATACTGACATGTGGCTACCTAGTGGTGGTGGCAGTGATGAGAAAGTTCTGTGGGGGAGGAATCATAAGTTAGATTTTAGATATTTTAAGTTGGATGTACCTCATAAGACTGTAAAGTGTGGATGGCAAGGAGGCAATTGGATATATAGCTCTTGAGGTCAGGTATTGTCTTAGTCTGTTTAGGTTGCTATGGCAAATTAACATAAACTGGGTGGCGTAAGCAACAAACCTTTGTTTCTCACAGTTCTGGAGGCTGGAGGTTGGAGATGGGGGTGCTGCCAGCATGGGTGGGTGCTGGTGAGGGCCATCTTCCAGATTACAGACTGCCGACTTCTCCTTGTATCTTCACATGGCAGAAAGAGGGTGAGGGAGTTCTCTGGCCTCTTCTTAAAAGAGCACTAATTAGGTTCTACCCTCATGACTTAATTGCCTCCTAAAGATCCCACCTCCAAATACCATCACATTGGGATTAGGTGTCAACATCTGAGTTTTGGATGGACGCAAATATTCATCCCATAACAGGGATGGAGATAGATAACTTGGGGAGTCACCACCTTATTGATTATATTTTTAAACTGTGAGATTGAGTAAAATAACCAAGAGGTTGAGTGCAGATGGAGAGAGAAGAGGGCCAAGGGTAGAGCTTTGGACACTGCAGTGTTTAGAGAATGAGAGGTAGGGAGGTAAGAGGGAGTCGTAGAAGACAACAGAAGGGAGTATCAGTTGTGTCACACTGTTTAGTTAGAATATGACGAAGGCACAGAGGTGACCACTGGATTTGACTCCCTGCAGGTCCCTGTGACCATGGTAAGAGCCCCTTGGGCATCCCAGTGGTCAGAAGGTGGAACTTAGCTCATTACTTTAACTGCTCATGGATCTGTCTCCTCTAGAGTGTGTGCGGTCCTGTTTATTTCTAGGGCTGAACATATGGTAGATGGTGAATAAATGTCTGGCTGCCGGTTTGAATTTTACACTGCAATTTAAAGAATCATATACTCTTTACCCTCATTTAGAATGCTTTTAGGCCACTGACCCTTCCCACCAGTTTATATCAATTCAAAGAATATAATCACATGAATAATAAACAGAACACAACCAGAGAGGCAAATGCATTTTCATAGAGGTTCACAGTGCATCCTGAAGCCGTCGTGCTGTAGTGAAAGAAGGCCTTGCTTTGGACTCCAAAGGCCCGCCTCAAGCTCTGGCTTCTCTGATGCCCTGCTGGAGGTGTCGGAGGCAGGTGCCCCACACTCTCTGGATGACAGTTCCTCAGCAGTCCTATGTGGATAATATTAGCAAATTCCTCGTACAGGATTTTGTGAGCAGCAAATGAGCTAATGCACATGAGAGTCCTTTGTAAGTAAAAAGATACTCTGTAAGTGCTATTTTTGTAAAAATAATTGGATTATCCATTTCATTACTGACGTATAAAGTAGATTAGATCAGAGTGTCATGAAATTCATATTTAGGCAGTGGCATCTGAGGGACAGCAAGTTGGGGGAGGACACAGATCACTGGAAAATGTGATACTTTTCTAGAAATATATAGGAAATTAATTTCTTCTGGCTTTGTTCCCTTATCTTTCCCAGAGAAATTTAATCATTTTGTTAGAATCAAAGAGTAGACTCTTTTCCTTGAAGATCTAGTAATCAAATCTAGCTAGTGGTCTGTTTACCCCAGTGTTACCTTTATCCAAAAGAATAAAATGTAGTTAGTATTGCTTCTGTTTTTTTTTTTTCTATTTTTTTTTCAGTGAGTACATTGATTCGCTCAATTTGATAAATTTTCCTCATGGTGATTACTCATTTCATTTTACTTCTAGGGTAAAAATCATGGTAAGAAACTACGAAATTACTATGCAGCAAACAGCTGTCCCCCTCCTGCCAGGGTGAGCAGTGCCGTGGAAGCTGTGGCTACTCCAGCGGCTCCAGTCCCTCCGCAGGTGAGACACGTGTATCTGGGTGGAAGCTGTCCTAGGCACAGATGGTTGTGGATGAAATTTGTGGGCCATGGGCCCATCTGTAACCACTCCTCCAAGATCTTACTTGGTGCTTTTCACTCCTTGAACTCACATTCTGGATTTAATGCATACCCAAATCCATGGACCTTGAGATTTCTCATTCGCTTTGGTTGTGATGCCTCAAATGATGAAACACTTTGTTTCGTGAGTCTTTATGCATTTCTCAGAATTCTGGGTTAAGTGACCCTGAGTGTTTAGGCTAAGCCCTGAATTAAAAGAGAGATTTTTAAATATTTATATCTTTATTGCAGTTAATTTCATTTACCTTGTATTTTGCCTTCCAGAAAGATCAGTTTCTTGAGGTTGCCCTATTCTTACCTCTTACAGGCAGAGAGCCTGCATAAACCCTCTCAGGACTTTGGTATGATGACGCACACTTGAGAGCCAAGTTCCTTTCACTCTTTGGAAGATAGAGCAGGTGTTTTAGGCAAGATATCCTGCACTTTAATAGCCTCTGAAATATGCATTCTACTCCTTAACCTGTCTTTGAAGTATTAACTGTCTGTAGAACAATACAATGGTCATAAATAATAATAGCTTTAATTGAGTACTTACTATGCCAGGCACTCTGCTAAGCACTTTTCATGCATTACTTCATTCAGGGCTGGATTGGGATGAGGTGAGGGATGCCCTCGACTTAGGCACAAAATTTAAGAGGGAGCCAAAAACCCAGTCCTCCATCAAGATAAATATTTTAATACAATATTTAAAAAATTCAAAATTAATGTGAAAAAAATCAATGGTAAACAAAACATCAAAAACTGAAACACAAGCTAAGCATTACTGAGTTTCTGTTTGCGTCAGGCCGCAATGTAGCTTGGCATGGCACTGTTCCTGATCCTATCTTTATTTAAAATTTTGATATTTTGTTCCTCATTGATTTCTTTTTTTGCGTTGTGTGATTTGTAAAAATATTCCATTAAAATATTACTTATCTTGATTGCTGAGTTTTTTGGATGCTCCCTTAAATTTTGTGCGCATGGAAAGTGCCTCATTGTACTCCTGGGCCCTGACTTATTTAAAGCTCACAACAACTTAGCGATATTGGTTTTCTTACTCAAAGTGTAGTCCATCGGCCAGCAGCATGAGTGTCACCTGGAAGTGAGTTAGAAGCTCGGGTAAGCTAAGTAACACGTGGCGTTACACGTTTTGTAAAGTGGTGGAGCAAGAATTTCTTTCTACCGTACACTGCTACTCCTAACCACCACAGTATAATTTTACTTTTCTGAATGTCAGTTTTCCAGTACTTAAAGTGTGGATGGCAATACCAGCTGTTCCTCTGTCCTCATGGATTTGTGGGGTAAATGAGATGTGTTAAAAACCCAGTTAGAGGGCAGGAAAATAGTTAGAGCGAGCTTCGGGCAGAATAGTTGTCCCGGTACTGATTCCTGCAGGCTGCCCGGGAACTGGATGGCTGCTCCTTCTCAGGACTGTTCTCAGCCCTCTCCGTCCTCCTGGGCAAACTGCCCTCGCCTTCTTTCATAGCCTGGCCCTTCGCAGTTTTTGAAGACAGCTATCTTATCCCCAGAAAAACCTTCCCCTCCAGCTGAAACAGTGCTGTTTCCTTCAGCTGGTCCTCGTATGATACGCTTTCCAGACTCTTTCTGGTGTGTGTTATCATCCTCTAGCTAAAATCTAGTTTGTCGTTTTTTGCTAACCCAACAATATTTGAGTGCATGCTATCTTCCAGGCACTGTGTTAGGTTTCTCTCAATTCGTTGTTTCCCAACCTGAATACCATGGTCTGGGTCTGCTGGTTATTTCCTCCTAATTCTGTTATATCTGTAGCTAAGTTGTAGCCTCTCTGAGGGCAGGGGCTCACTTCTTAATATATGTCTACATCCCTTCCGCGTTAGATAGCAAGCCCGAGAAACTGGCGTTCAACAAATGTTTGTTGGTGGATTCTGGGCAGACTTTACTCTTTCTGGTAATGTGACCTTAGGCCTTAGCTTTACTGCCCAAAATCTTCCATGCTGGGTTTTTAAACTTTTTAAAAAAAATTTCTTCAATGGAGATAGCAATGAGCTATTCATCTGTTTGACACATAGGTGGTTGTCATGCAAAATCATGATGAAGTGTCTCCTAGGCTGGCTTTCTTTCTTTCTTTTTTTGCAATGAGTTATTTTCTTTCCTTTTAAAGCTGAGTGCTTGTGGTCATGCCGTAACCTTCGGTTATTTTTGCTTCTTAGAAGGAACTTTGAGGTGAAGGAGGGAATAAACTCCACGTTTTTTGACCTTGTGTTCTGTGTCTTCCACATCAGATGGGCTCCTTTAAGCCGGGAGGCAGAGTGATCCTGGCCACCGAGAACGATTACTGTAAGCTCTGTGACGCCTCCTTCAGTTCTCCGGCTGTGGCCCAGGCTCACTACCGAGGGAAGAACCACGCCAAGAGGCTCCGGCTGGCGGAGGCTCAGAGTAACTCGTTCTCGTAGGTATTGCCGTTTTCTCTGAGGCCAAAGTGTTGTGTGAGGCTGTCTTTGGAGAAAAAGAATCGAAAGGGATCCTTGCTGAGAAGTCTAACTTTTGAAATTTCTCTTTTCCAGGGAATCCTCAGAGCCTGGTCAAAGGCGGCCCCGGAAAGAAGGGAATGAATATAAGATGATGCCTAATAGGAGAAATATGTATGCAGTGCAGAATAATGCAGGTACCCCGTGGGCTCCCACAGACCTCAGCTGCATTCTGCAAATGGTCTTCTTTATTTTGATTTCCTTTATAGATAGCCCTGAGAATTTGGGGTTAGCTATTGTTTTGTTGAATTGGTCTGGTGGCTTTTCAAGCTGCTTTTTATTTCTGGTTGTATTTATTTCCTATTTAGTATATTATCTATTTTGGTTTTAAACCATAGTGTATGTTTTAAGATCTCTTATCATAATCCTTTTATGCTGCTGGTATTTGCCAGCTGAGAAATGTGAAATGCATCGTAAAAATGGGATATTTGGTTTAAAGTTGCACCATGTTAAATTCCCGTTTGTTGGGGAAAATAAAAAGATTATTGCAGTGGTGTTTAACCAGTGTGGTGAATAAGAACTACCTTGGGAGTTTTTATAAAACACACATGCCTGCACCCTGACTGAGAGGTTTTTAATCGGTAAATTTACAGGGCGGCGCAAGCGTGTGTTTTGAAAATGCTTCCTCAGGGCTTCTGACATACACCTTCAGTTCAGAACTACTAGTTTATAGGAACGTTTTCTGCATTTTCTGATTATCCTCAGTAGGGAGAGTAGGACTGAGTCATCCCTCATCCTCCCGCTGCCCCAGCCTGCAGGGCATACACGTGCCAGCACAGGTCATTCACGTGAACAGTTAAACAAGTGAAAAACGAAGTTTGTTGGAAAGGCAAGAGAAGCATAGAAAAAAGGGATAGATAGAAAACAGGGATATATAGAAAGGGATATGTACAATGTAATATAATTAATAAAATTCTAAACATATATCAGTAATTACAATAATGGTAAATTTACTAAAGTCCCAGTTAAAAGACAAAGATTATAAGATTACATGAAATGAAGGAAACTGAGATAGCTGTATTAATATTCAATAAAATAAACTTTAGGACAGAAGGCAGTTTAGACTATGTTCTCTGACCAGAGTACAAGTAAATGAAATGTCAATAACCAAAATATAAAAAGCCCCACAAAATTTGTGTTTGTTTGGAAATTTTTTTTTTTTTGAGGAAGATTAGCCCTCAGCTAACTGCTGCCAGTCCTCCTCTTTTTGCTGAGGAAGACTGGCCCTGAGCTAACATCTGTGCCCATCTTCCTCTACTTTATACGTGGGATGCCTGCCACAGCATGGCTCGCTAAGTGGTGCCATGTCCGCACCCGGGATCTGAACCAGTGAACCCTGGGCCACCGACGTGGAACATGCGCACTTAACCACTGCACCACTGGGCTGGCCCCGGTTTGGAAATTTTAGAACACTTTGAAGCAACTCATGGGTCAAAGAAGAAACTCTACTAGAAATTAAAAATTCCTAGAACCAAACAGTAATAAAAATATATCAAAATTTATAGGATGCAGTGAAAGTAATATTTTGAGAAAAGCCTTAAACATTATAGTAGAAAAGAAAAGCAGAAAATTAATAAGCTAATGGTCCAACTTAAGAGGTCAGTTATATAAAAAGAAAAAATTATCAATAATTTACCATTTTTGTATGTCATTTTAATCTATTTTTTTAAATACAAATGTGATCATATTTTGTGATAGTCTTGTTTCATTTAATAGCATATTGTAATCACATTTTAATGTAATTAAAGAGTTTTCATTATTTTTAGTGACTGCATAATTTTCCATTGCATTTATTACCATAACTTTTCAAATTGTGTTTTTTGATCTCTCCTCTCCCCACTTCCACCTATAAAAGCTTTTATAAACACTGATGAAAGAAATAAATGTCCTTGTTGATAAATCTCTATGCAAAAATTCTCAATATTTTCTTGGAAGTAGAATTTTTGGATTAAGGAGTTAGTATAATTATAAAACTTTCCATATAATGCTTGGAAATTAAATTATTTTTAAAATTGCATTCACTTTCTTAGAGACATTGTCATTTAGAGTTTGGGTTTGGCTCCAGAATAACCTTTCTGACAATAGTTAGAGGAATCATTTTAGCTTTTTAGATTGAACTAGTATAAAATTGTAATTAAAAAAAATCCATTAGCTTCCCATTCATTTAAAGCTAAGAGTCTGTGAATTTCATAATTTGAACTTAGAATTACAAATTGCAGTGATAATTGATCAAACTGTCATCATTCACTTAGTGAATATTTTGAAGTGACTGCATTACTTTTATCTCTTGCTTTCCCAGGTCCTTACTTCAATCCCCGCTCTCGGCAGAGGATTCCACGTGATCTGGCCATGTGCGTTACTCCCAGTGGCCAGTTTTACTGCTCAATGTGTAATGTTGGGGCTGGCGAAGAGGTGGAATTCCGACAGCACTTGGAGAGCAAGCAACATAAAAGCAAGGTGTCGGAACAGCGGTACAGGAATGAGATGGAAAATCTGGGATATGTATAGTGATGGTTGTATCCAGATAGAGCAGCTTGTCCTGCCTCTTGTTTGCCTTCTGTCAACGTGCCCTGCTTGTGGTCCTTTTGATATGAGTACATTCCTCTGCTTAATGTTGTGTAACCTGCAGTGGTACCATGAGATGTCAAAACTGGGGAAGGAAAAGAATGTGCTTCTTAGGTCATGATGCTTTTGCAGGTCCGTTGTGTTGAGCTACTTAGAGCATGTGACCTACCTACCCCATGAGAAATAACTTTTTATCTTGACCAAGATCTGGTCAACTAGTAGCCTGACTACTTAGAGCTTTAACTATTTGAAAATTTCATCTTTTGTAATTTTAGTTTTATGTACCATTAAGTAAAGAATATTATTGAGTTCTCACTTCAGATCACAACAAAAACACAAGCAGAGATTTCAGTTTCCTGAGGCTTCTTTAGAACCATCACCTCAACTCAATGCCTTGTAGGATTGTGTAGGATATAGTGTTGTAAACTGCATTAAAATCTCTCCCAGGATGCTTTATCCCCTTATCATGTCCTCCCATTATTGAAATGCAGGTTTTCTTGGATTCAGACACTCCCAATGTGCTTGTGGACTTCCAAACAGTGAAACTTCATTTCCAGTTGTGGATTTCCCATGTTTAAATGCCACCTTCTTCCCTCCTCTTTTTTTTCCCCCTAGTTGAATTAGCTTGTCTAGTAAGCTCATTTTTATGCCCCAGCTGTGTTGTGGGGTTTCCAAGCCTCACATTTGAATATCCAGTGAGTTTAAGATAGATATGATATTTTTTTAAAAAATATTTTTCAGCTGATTTTAGGAAATGTAAAGATGTGTTTGATTTTTCAGTTTAGAGTTACTTCATTGATAGTAACATGTATTTATATGATGGCCTCAATCATGAGTTCAGATCTCTTGATATTTGTTTTGGCAGACTTTTCAGATAAACTGATCCTGACATTTTACTTACATTCTTTTCTGTCTTGCTGGTTTGTTGGCTGTCCTGAAAAATACCACTGCCTTACTGTTTCATAGATAGAGAGGAATTTTAAAAAGTTAATCAAATTTCAGTATCATCATTTCCAGTAGAAAAATACGTGAACTTTGGTTTCATTCTTTATAATTCAGCTTCCATGAAGATAATAGAAATACATTATTGATTATTTTGGTATGTGATAATTACAGCAGTATTACTTTTGTTTTCTGTTTTTAAAATAAGAAGCTCTAGTGTATATCTAGATTAACTAGTGGAACACTCTATGAACTTTGACTAACTGTATTTTATCGACTTACTGTATTTATGTGGATAAGACCGGTGCTCATCCATACTTCTTTTGAGAGGCCACATTCACCAGGAAGTTTATATTGAGCAGTATCTTTGCACTATGGTCAATTCACATTTGATTGCTCATATTATTAATTAAATATAAAACTCTTGTTTTTCCTTGAGAATTCTGTAGGCAAAGAGATGGAGAGAAGGGAAATTATAATCATCATTCCTTTCCTTTAATGCTTCTGAACAATTTTTGAACAACCTAGACCCATACTTAAAATTCAGTTTTGTGATTAACCTCTGGTACAATATACAGTTACTCTTCTGTTGAAGTGGTGGTTTTTTGAAAAGTAGAGTTGTTTAGTAATTTTTTTCTTCTAGACGCAGAAGAATGAAATAATGTCCTGTTGCGATTCTATCTAGACCTGTGACTCTTAATCTAGAAACTCTTTTTGCAGTAATCTATAAAGTACAGTTGGTTAGTTTAGGGCAATTTAGAGCTTATTTTGTTGGTTAGTAGGTTACTCATTTTGCTGCTAAGTATAATTTTTTGGTAGATTTTAATACTATAGTGCTGGCCACTTGGTTCTATGATTATTTAAAAATCTCATTTTTTCCCCCCCTCTCTCTCTGTGTATGTGTGTGTATGCATGTATGTATGTATATATACACACACACACGCACACATATATATATAAAACTATGTGTATATAGTTTTATGTGATACCATAGAGAAGATTCCATTGAATCCTTATTTCAGAAAATAGTAAAAGATTGTGGATAAGAATTTACATTTTGTAAAAGTGGCATTCATTCACTTTCAGTTTTTGCTTTACAAATAAAATTAAAGGAAGGGTTTCCCCCGCTCTCCCCACTTAATGATTTCATGATATTTATACAAAAAGCAGTGGACTTAAGGCCTTGATGTTTTTCCTGGCCTTGTATATTCAGGTTTCCAGTCTCCCAGTGCCCTTAATGGATGTTATGAATGCATAGATGCATCTTCTTTTAAAGGAAAAAGTTAGATTTATAGTGTTCCTTCTTACTTGCTGTATTTCTTTGCACTAAAAGAGAGCTATGTGTTTGTTTTATACGACACTTTAGATACCATATTGCCTACAATACTTGGTTTGCTCCTTGATTTCCAAACTCTAGGAAGTTGATGTTCCATGCAAAGTTCCGTGATCATTTATAGAGGTTACATACACATCCCTCCCAAAGAATCTCAGATCCCTATGACAGCGGGTTGTGTTTTGGGCTTGTTACCTTGCAAAATTCTCCTGTGTTCCATAGGTGAAACAAAGGGTGACAGAGGTTGCCAGAAAGGAAATGCCTAAATAAATACATCTCTGCATGGTACAGTTTCTCATACTCGTGCATTCCTGAGAGACAGTGTTTTTTCCCTGTCAAAGAAGGCTGTTACTACTGCAGTCAGTGGTACGTGATCTCCGTTGGTTTCATTTGTGAAGTCCAGTCCTGCTCTGTAATATGCTTTAGCGTTTGCTCCCTGTCCTCCCCAGGAATCACGTTAGTATCTTTTTATATGCTGTATATAAGGACGGACAGAGGCCTAAATGACGGAAAACCTTTAGTTAAATGAGTTAAGTAGATTTCAGTAATCATCTGCAAGAACTCATAGCATCCAGGTCTCTTTTCTCTGTGAATATCTTCATGTGAGTTGTCATTCAGAATCAATGTTAGAAGACAACATTTAGGACCTCTTCTAAGATATTGAGGGCAAAAAGTCATAAAGGAATAATTCCATGTTCCAATTAAAAGATTGGATTGCATATGCCTTCGAAATGCTTTTTTCAAAAAGTTAAGCTACAAAACTGAGTGTGCCATGTAATCCTTTTGACTCGACACTGACCAGAAAATAGTTTGTTGGTCTCGTCTTTGTATATCACGTGCTGCAACTTGTAAATAGGTGCATGTTGTTTATTATGATTGTTTGTCTGCTTGTCTGTTATTGCACTGAATTCTGCAAGGTGAATATTTTTTTATACCATTCATTTTGAAAAAGTTCCTTCTTCAACTCTTCTTCACTATTTCCTCTTCTAATTAGTTGGTAAACTTAGAAAACCATTTAAGATTTTTGAAACCCTGAGATTGAATGAAGAAGTGTGGCTGTCTGAGATCAATCTATGTCCCTCTGACTTAAACAGCTAAAGGGAAGCATGAGATCTTCCACCTTATTTTACAAAGCTGTTCTACAGAACTAGTATGCTTGCTTATAGCTACCATATCTACACTTTGAACAAGGGTAAAAGGAGAAATATATATATATATATATATATATTTCATGTTTATATATAAACATATATACAGTCATGAGCCACATAGTGATGTTTTGGTCAACGATGGACTGCATATACGATGGTGGTCCCCCAAGATTAGTACCATGTGGCCTAGGTGTGTAGTAGGCTATACATCTAGGTGTGTGTACGTACACTCTATGATCTTTGCACAGTGACAAAATTGCCTAATGCTGCATTTCTCAGAACGTATCCCTGTTAAGTGTCGCATGACTATATATATATATAAACATATATGTATATTTGGTTAAATCTTCCTCTGTAGATAGATTTGAAGGATTAGCAGTGGAATTTGATTCTTTCACGCCTGAATTGGCTGAGACTATGAGCAACGACAGTTTGAGGACTGTCCAGTGACCTATGTAAATGAGTCTTGCTTGTGTCAGGGGACACATGGAACCGTTCAACACGGTATCCTTCACAGACAGGCTTAGGGATGCTGGGTTTGAAACTGAATCTCTTTTGTTTCCTTAGTGTCGGAATTTAGGCTGGAAGTGCTCTCTAAAGCACTTGGTGAGTCATATACTAAGGATGTTAGAGCTGCTTTAGAAATAGAGAAATGTTTTGTCCATATAGGCAGAAATTTAATGCAGGCTTTGAACAGATGTTTAAAAAATATTCCAACTTACCACCTATTTTTTCTTTTTTTTTAACCAGCCAGGTTAGGAGTTTCTTACATAATAAAGAGTGTTTTGTTGTTGCTTTTGTTTTTGGCGGTGGATTCCTAACATTGTGAACTGTTACTGTCAGTCTAGCTGAATGGACACATAGCTGTGTAAATAGCCTCTCATTTGACATTTCTACTGATAGCTGTTTGACTTTTTCTTCCCATTATGAATGGGAGAATCATTTGTAAACTCCCATTCTGGGTCGCTACCAAAAAACATACTGGCTTATGGTCCTATGGGACCCTGTCTCCGTTAAGCCCAGAATATGAGTGCCTTTAGCAAGTTTTCGCATTTCGCAGAGAGAAGAGTCGATAGAATTATTGCCATTATTCACAATTCATAAAACAGGAGCTTGGAATAGCAAAGGTTGGCGTGGATTCTGTGTTCTACATCTTTTTTTTTTCCTTAATGCAATCTCAATTTGATATTGAATAAAACTACCATTATTGATCAGGAACTGTACACCCTGAAAATGAATCCAGTTGTCCCAGGTTGGGCAACAGTCATAGATTATTTTTCACCTTGATCTGTGTTACATTTATATTTAGTGAATGATAGAGAGGGGGGTTGGGGAGGAGCTTGCTGCCGATTTTTGGGAAAACATTATTCCAGTGGTCTTTTTCAAACTTGTCTATTCTATAGAGAGGAGAAAATTATGTATTTGCAAATGAAGTATGTGAAGAGATTGCTTTTCACAATATTTATTGTGTTAGTTCATCTCTATGTTAAAAAAAGGCATCTTCACAAATCAGATTTGAGGCCTTTTAAAGCAAAATTTTCCCTACTTCAATTAATTTAAAATTCTAAATTGAGTACTTTGAGTTTTTAAAACACATTTGTAAATTAATTTTGTTGTAGAAATATTAACATTTTCCTCAACACTTTATTGTGAAAAGTTTCAAACATACATCAGAGTTGAAAAAATTTTTACAATATACCCACCACTAGATTCTACCATGAACATTTTACTATATACTTGTATTATCGTATATCCGTCCATTTCTCTATTCATCCATCAATCTATGGAGTTTTTTTTAATTTATATATTTTGATGTAAATTTCAGACAATACATTTCCTTTAAACACTTCAGCATAAATGTCATTAACTTTAATATTTTGTTTAAATATTATCTTTTAAAAAGCAGTGTATGAAGTTGATAACCTGAGCCAATTAAGATACAGTTTTTTCTCCTGTGGACTTAAGCCTTCCAGTTTCTGTTTTTGTATGTGCTTAGAGGGAGGGAAGACAGCTTTTCAAACCGAAGTTTTCTGGTGTTGGTCATTTGAAAAGCTTAGTTGTCATACATTTTAAAGTTTCATGATAAGAATTTTTTCTTTACCCCTCTTCTTATGACGTATTATGAACTATGCAGCTTCTTTAAGAAACTGTAAATTACTGATTGGGGTTTATTAAATCAGCTTATACCTCATTTCAACCTATTGCTGCTTTTCTCCATGTTATCACGTCTCCTTTCGTGATTGTCACCTGTTCTGCCAGAAAGTAGAGAGGAGTAGAGTCAAACCCGTAGATGGTTAGCTGTTTTAAACAACTCTAGAAAACAGATTAAATGGTTTAGAAAGTTGAAACCATTAATTTATCCAAAGCCTTTGAATTCCCTGAGAATTGTAATTGCCCATGCTTCCTCTAGCCATAATTAGCAAGATTAAAAACGATTGTACTGTACAATGAGTTGTTGAAATTGTGAGCCTTAGTAACCATCTTTAGCTTTATTCTAGTACTGTTTAGAAAAATTTTTTGACATATGCCTTTATTTTTGTGTCAATTTTTTGTGGACAAAATCTGAACAATTTAAGCAACTTGCTCCAGGTCATGAAGATTGAATGGATAAGTCAGAATTGAAACGTCAGTATTCCTGATTCATATTTTTGTGCTTGTTTGTTCATATTCACGGCTTCCAAAATAGCTGAACACTTCCTTTGGGGCCCTTAAAATGAAAATATGTATTTTTACTAATTAGACTTTCATTTTTAGGCATCTCATGATTCTTTGAACTTAAGGATGTTTTCATGGTCACATTCCTCAATAAGCCAATGCAATTGCTCAATATTTCACTTCACTGTTGAATACTAATAATGCAGTTTTCGTCAAATTTCTTTTTACATTTAAATGACCATGATTCACACAATGCTCTTTCTATGTAAGTGCTTAAGTGACCCCCTCACTAGTGACAACAGATGTTCTCTATCACTGATTACATGTATATTCTTTACATGATATATTTTTTTAAGGAAAAGTAACCCCATGTGTCAGGATGAATGATATTATCCTTGTGCAAAGCACATATAAAGTTTATTTCTACTCTGCAAATCTGGCATTTCCAGGAACAAAACTCTTTTAGAGTGGCTAGTTGTCGTTTCTCCTTCTTTTGCTACTTGAGCACCTTTCTGTGGTTTTGTAAATCAGTGTGTCATTTTGTAAGAATGTCATGTTGATTCTCTGTTCCTTGGTGTTCACCTTGTGGTATCCTCGGCTGATCATCATCTGTTTAGTTTGGGTATGGTGTGTCTGCTTTGAAATGCCTTACTAGAGATGTCCAACTCTGCTCTAATGCATTCCCTGTATTTGCTAGGACAATAAGTTGCCTCTCTTGGATGTATGCTCTAGATCCAGAAGCAAACTGATTTTGCCTCCACTGTTCAGGTTGCATCTTAGTGCAGTTATTGTTTTAAATTAGAGAATAAAATCATGAAAAACCAAGGGTGACTTTAGAACCCTTCATTTAATGGCATGGCACACTTTTAAAACCGCTTCTGCTATTTCACTAGAACAATATCTCTGGTAAAGGATATAGCTTATAAATGCCAGCCCAAACTGTATGAAACTGGGATTGCTTCCTAAAATTTTCTGTAACTGTCGTACAGGGGCTTAACATCTGTGTATGCTGTTGGGGCCAAGTGCCAGTCACTGCTTTGGAAATCTGTGTTCTGGGGCTCCAGAAATGACAAAAGTGTCGTGGGATTAAAACCAATCAACTGTGAATTGTGAAATTGAAATTGCTCTTTTGGTTTTATTTTCTTCAGCATATTGAATATAGAAATCTGAAAGTTATTTAAAATTTACACTGCTTATGTTGATGGCTCATTTTGGCTGTGTATCCTCACTTATGTAATGATTTCTGATAAAGGCTTGACGTTATTATAACAGGCATTTTGTGTTCAATTTAATAAAACAGTTTCTGAGTCTTGTCTGCAAATTGTTTGGTTATAATTGGAGATCAAGGGAAGAAGGTACATTGTCACCACTGAGGTGTTATTTTCGATGCCGATGGTCGACGGCTGTGGGTTCCCCACCCATCAGTTTGCACACGATCTGCCTTGGACTTCTTGAACTCATGCAGAGTGTTGCCAGCTCTTGGGTTTGCGGTAGAATTGTTCTAGCTTCCCACGCTACCCTCTCCCTGCATCGCTGGAGTTAACCTGGGACTAGAGTGAGTTCTCCATTTTATTGATATATTTAAAAATTTATCTTCCCTTCAAATTCTGAGAAAAGTTGGGCTTAGCAGGACCATAACTGCTGCTTCTGGAAATAAACCTATAGTAAAAGGCATACACCTGTTAATCTTTTGGGTGTTTCACATATGAAATGTAATTAGCTTATGTATCCAATATATTATTGGGATATGGTCATTTAAGCACTCTGGTTTACTGTATGCAGTGTCCTTTTGAATTTCAACGCTCATTCAAAAAAGTAGATTATAGACCTGGGAGGTTCTGTTAGGGTCTGTTTAATTGGGATGCAAGACACATACACTTCTGTCGTGGGAAAAATTCTTGTGTCTGCACAAAAAAAATGTTTCTGAATGAAATGAATAGATCACATGGAGCCTGTCTCTGTGTTGTGAAATACTCAAGGCATCAGCACATTTTATTAAATCATCTCCAAGAGCTTTTTAGCTTAAAAGAAAGCCATGATAATGGGCATTAAAAAAAAAGTCTTAAGCCACTAGAGCTTTTCAGCTTTTCTTTCTTCGGACATTTCTGAGGCTTTTGCGTTCACTGAAATTCTATTCAAGATCAGAATAGAATAGAATAACTCTGGGTGTTATCCTTTAAAATTGCCTGCATGTAAAAGGCTTGCGATGAACTTCCCCAATCTATTATAAATTGATATGATTGTAAAGAGATAAGAAATAGATCTTTTTGTGATGAGTTTTAAGATTTTTGTTGTCTGAGTTGAGACTTAACCCAGCAAGTTTTATTTCTATTTATGAGATATTCATAAACTGTTGAAAGTTGGGAACTTAGAAAAAGATGAAGATAAGTAACAATTATGAAATGTAAATATTTAATAGGGATGTGATTGGGTCCTTACCAAAAAGATAAAAAGTCACCTAAAAATACACTCCATGATATATGTCCGTGTATGTCCGTGTGTGTGTGTTGCAGAGAGGGAGAGGGAGGTTGTGCATTAGTGAGGAGTAAATGGAAATATGTGTAAGGTTATCAAATACTTGTAATGAAGTATGTCCAAAGGAACAGATGTAACTTTGCCACTGGAAGAAATGTGCTCCGCCATAGGCAGATAGGCAGTCTATAACTTCTGCTTGGTATTGCGGATGTCTTTAAGTATGTAATTAGAGCTTCAAATGTGTTTTGGCTGGCAGCCGTCCCTCCAGACAGGAACAAGATGTCTTTAATATTAGCTTCAATTTTTAATCTTTTGCTAATGCCAGAGGCTCTTCTCTACCCCTGTTTTCTAGAAATAGCTCACTAGGGTATGGACTTTGACCAAAGGTATCTAGTGCCACCCTGTGGACTCCCTAAGTCTTACAGTTAGCAGTTTGAATGTGGTTGGTATGCTGCCTTTGAAACAGGGTCTTTGGCTAAAAGCCACCTAGTGGAGAAGAGGAGTTTTTATCTGTAAATAAAGCAAGGGCAGACATCATGTCTTTAGGAAACGTGGAGGAGCGTGTTCTTTTACAACTTTTGCAAAATGCTAAAGTATGCCGAGTGGGAAAAGTGGTGAATTGGGAATCAGGATACATATTTATGTATATATGTGTATATATAAGTATATGAGTGTGATTTTTTGGTGATTTTTAAAAAATGACTATTTTACTTAAAGATCCATTATCCATACATTTTTCGGTCATGGGAACTAATTAAAATACTGGTTAATGAAAGCCTCAGACTGGAAGGAAAGGACTAGAAAAATCTCTCATCAAAGAAGATAGTTGAAAGTTTAAAAAATTATATACGGGGCAAATGGAAATCATGCTGATGATATAAAAACTAAACTTCAAAATACTAAAGTTTTCCCAAACGTAATTTACTTTGAGGAAGAACATAATGTTCTCTGCCTCAATAAACTGGCAGTACAGAAGGAGACATTTTTAAATCTTTTAGTAAATATTTCTAACATTTAGAAAAAGTACAATCCCACAACTAGAAGGACCTGCAACTAAGATATACAACTGTGTACAGGGGGGGGTTTGGGGAGATAAAGCAGAAAAAAAAAAAGATTGGCAACAGTTGTTAGCCCAGGTGCCAATCTTTAAAAAAAAAAAATGGTGTGATATTCCATGGCATACCATGATTTATAAAAAAAAAAAAAAGAAAAAGTACATACTAGGATAAGTGGTCCCAATTCTGTCACCTGTGTGCTCTTGGGCATGTCACTTAACTGCTCTAAAATTCAGTTACTCAGAGTTGGGGGATTAGATGTGAATTCCAGTTATTTCATCCCTCTCAGGAGTATGGATTGAGAGAATTGCTCCTTTCAGAAACTCAGCTGAGTTTTTGGAACAGATAGATCCTGAGCTCACCCATGACCTCGTGCTCCCCGATTGCCCTCCCCAGAGGCAGTCACAGTTCCAGCTTCTGAGGTACTTTTCCGGAGAGATTCTAGGCCCCGTGAATGCTGGCATTCCATACATACATTTTTTTTTTTTCCAGTGACCCGTGTGCCTTGGCAACCATTCTATACCAGCACATGTGGATCTCATTCTTTTTGACTGCGTGGTGTAAGATTTCCAAAATTTCATTTATTGGTCCTCTTTGATGGGCATATATATTGTCATGACGTTTTAATTTAAAAACTTTACAGAATTGTGGTAAAATACATGTAATATGAACTTTATCATTTTCCTCATCTTAAAGCCTGCAGTTGAGTGGCATTAAGTTCACTCGCATTGTTGTGCACTGTCACCACCATCCACCTTTTCCTTTTCCTAAACGGAAGCTCTGTAACCCAGCAAACAATAACGCCCATTTCTCCCTCTGCTCCCAGCCCCTGGCAGACACCATTCTACTCTCTATGAATTTGACTACTCTAGAGACCTCCTATAAGTGGAATCATACAGTATTTGCTTGTGACTGGCTTATTTCATTTAGCATAATGTCCTCAGGGTTCATCCATGTCATAGCATGTGTCAGAATTTTTTTCCTTTTTAGGCTGAATAATATTCCATTATATGCAAATACTACATTTTGTTTATCCATTCATCTGTCCATGGACATTTGGGTTGCCTCCACCTTTTGGCTACTGTGAATATGCTGCTATGGACATGGGTGTACATAAATTAAAAACTTCGAAAAATTATAAATAATTTCCTATATGCAAAATGTAGAGGATAACCAAATAGACATACACGGACTCATCACCAAGCTCCCAGCACTATCAAATCCTAACACTTTGCCATATTTTATTGTGTTATTTTTAGGAGAAATAAAACATGGATTCAGCTGAAGCCCACTGTGCACCCCTCCCCACTTCTAATCTCTTTTCTCCCTCCCTAGATAAACCCATAATCTTGAATTTGGTATTTATTTCTATGTATCTTATTATATTAATACCATATGTTTCCTTAAACAATACATAATGTTATTTATGCTCTCAAAATTAATGGTATCATAATGTGCAAATGCTTCTGTTTTTTTTCTCAACATAGTTTTTCAGATTTATCTGTCACCTACATAGCCATAATTTATTAATTTTAAATGCTATGTCATTGTCTGAATATACCGTGATTAATTCATCCTCTGTTGATAGACATCTACGTGGCTTTTAAGATTTCCCTATTACAAACAATACTGCAGTGAGTGTTTTTATACATATCTCCATAGACATGTATGGAAGACCCGGGAAACCGGATCCTTGAGGCATCACCTTGGAGCTTGTGAAAAATGCAGCATCCCGCACCCCACTCCAGACCTACTGAATTAGAACCTACCTTTATGCAACGTCCCCAGGTGACTCATGGGCATATGAAAATCTGAGCAGTTGTTCTCCAACTTAGTAACACGTTGGAATCGCCTGGGAAGTGAAAACCAAACAAAATAAAAACACCCTTGTGCCTCGGTCATACCCCCACTGATTCTGATTTAACTGCTTTAGCGTGTGCCTGGGTCTCCAGGGAATTTTAAAATCTCCTTTGATGATTCTAATATGTAGCCAAGATTTAGATTGATGGCTTGGACCAAAACAACCGTGGCTGCATTATGCGTGTCACTTGGCTTTTGCTGGGATGCTTTCCGGAAAGGACGGTTTTACCCAGAAGGAGCTAGAGTGGGCAGGGGTATCAGGATGGAACTTCTAATCTAGTGAATTATCAAAACACTTGAGCAAGTGCCTTGTCCTATTTTAAGCATAATTAATTCTTAGTTGATAGAGTTTAATTTACTTAACAAACACTTGTAAGGCACTAACCATATAACAGATAATCTTCTAAAAAGCACTTTATTAACATCATTTCTCTTAATATTTGTTGGAAAATTTCCTTTCTGCTTAAGAATACTTTGAAATTTTCAGTGAAATCGTGCAGTTTATCAGAAAGTCAGAAGAATGTTAGTAATACGAAAGAATGTTCTGCAGGATGGTGCGGGTCCTCTGCTGTGTGCTCAGTGATGCTGTGCCGACTCTGCTGTTGGCATCCAGTCTGGGACTTTTCCTGGGGGAAGCTGCCACCCACTCACCCGACAGGGCATGGGCTGTGAGTACCCAAGGCCGACACTTCCCAAGGGAAGAGAACTTGGGACTCTGTCCACTTAGAGATGTGGGCTTTTCTGTTCAAAACTACAATGTCATTGTGGTCAAAATTGGGAAAATTCTCTCTCTTCCGGTGGAGTCTCAGGGCTAATTATTCATCCATCCAGTCACTCTGCAGTTCTGGGAATGAGTTGTAGAACAGAGCGCTTAAATAGTGCTGGATTGGCTATTGCAAAGTCTATTTATGTGACTTGAAGGAACTTTCTC